GAAAACAAGGTGGATGAGGCCCTAAAAAGGTCAGAAACTGACTTAGAAAGGAAGTGTACTTTGGCCCTGAAAAAGTCGGGATTCCGTTAAGTGACCAATGTACATGAGGCCCTGAAAAGGTCAGAGTCTGGTTAAGAAGCATAGGCCCTGAAAAGGTCAGAGTCTGATTAAGAAAAGTGAAAAAGGGGGGGGGAGGTTAGTTCAACTTACTTAGAGAAATCCTTTCTGATGGGTCCATGCTTATTAGGGTTAAGTTTGTATTGCCCCATGTCCGAAAGGTACGCTCCAACCCGAGTGGTATTAAGCAAACAAAGTGAAAAATGATATTATTATTACTATTATCATTATTATTATTATTATTATTATTATTAGAACCAAACCGTCGATGATTGAGGAAATTAGTGTATGAAATGCCCTCTTAAGATGCTTGCATGGTTGCCAGGGTGTACATCTGGAATTATGTCAGACTCCCGTCTTCGTTCTTAAGCCTGTATGTTATCATGGGGTAAACTTTACATGAAGGTTTGAATCATGGTCTTGTATACTACCAAGGAGACTGAATTTCCAAGATGGAGCCTTTTACATTGTTTTTGGGGGATTACTTTATTTACACTCAAATATACGGCAAGTTGTCATGTTAGCCTCTAAAATAACAGATGCCCAAGATGATTATTATATTGACGTATATTATAAGATGCGTTCTTCTATTTCAACCTCTGGTCCTAAAAACAGTAGGATTTCAAAAGCATGTCTAAGCTTGTGTGCATTTTTGAAACTCAGATAAATATATATATATTATATATATTATGTTTTATCTTGTTGTGAGTTCAGATGTAATACTTAATAGTCGCCACTGAATTGTTGAATGATTAAAGTAATTCAGTCTATTTTGCCAGTAACTCGTAATTCCAGTGTATTTGTTCATCTTTATAGCTCGTATTTATCTTTAGAGAACAACTACTAGGCAGCTGTCAGCCTTTTTCAATATCATAACAGGTGGCCAGGATGTATTTGCTATGGTGAGGGTATAATTACCCTCAGCAATAGGGTCAGGGATTGTAAGCCTCTATCAACTGCTTAATTAAGGAACCAGCCTCAGTTAATTGGCCATAGAAGGGTCGTAAAGCTAGGTTGTAATTTTAATTTAAATCAGAGAACAGGAGACTTTTCATGGAGCCTTGTGACTTAAAAATGGATCAGAAATACAAGACATGTTTTTACGATTAACTAGGGTGGGAAAGTTTTGCAATATCCTACTGAAAGCTAAAAGAGAGAAGTCCTTAGAAAATGGACAGAGGTTATTGAACATAATAAAAATGAAGACAATGTGCTTCGATAAGAATTTAAATCTTCCTATCTGTACTATATAGGGGGACTTGTAATACCCATGTAAAATTATCCTGCTTACTGAAAAGTGAAAAGCTAATAACTATTTACTACTCTGACTTACTTGAGATGCTCTATCAGTTGTAATGCCCTAAGTAAAGGCTGGGTCACACTGCGCTTGCAACCTTTTGGCAACCTCTTTGCAACCTCAGTCGCAAGGAGGTTGCCCTAGGTTTTAAAGTGGTCGCATTAGGTTGCAAACAGGTCGCCTGCGATCGTTGACACACGAAGGCCATTTTTTTTGCACCGACAACCAGTGCGACTGATAATGAAAACGATTGGTAACTGAGAGGTTGCCGATAGGTCTCCTCTTGGTTGCCAGTAGGTCGCTGTAACCAGACTAAAACCAGTCGCATACCACCTGTAACTGCACGGTCGATTGACGGTCTTTAGTCGCTTAGTTGCAAACAGGTTACTAACCGGTTGCAAGCGGTGGGCAGCAGGTCGCAAGGAGGTTGCAGTTGAAACTTCATGGTCGATTAACGGTCTTTAGTCGCTTGGTCTCTAACAGGTTTCTTACAGCTCGCATGCACTCGAAAACATGTCGCGAGAAGGTCGCAAGCAACCGTGATAAAATAAGCGTAGGATGGTGGCCACTAAATATATAAATATATTTTTCATTTATATCATGCCATTAAGGCTTTCTAAATACCTTGACAAAAATCGTTATTTCTCAATTAAAACGTAGATTGTATTTGTTGTCATCCTTTTAAATTTATTTACAAGGTTTTCATAAGTATTTTTTTTCAATAAAATAAATAAATGTATGAGTCCCTATCAGCCACCATACTTGACTAAAAGTGTTGTAAATAGAAGCCGCTGAGCCCGTGTCTTCAGTCCCCAGTATGTCATCCAACAGCGTGGGAAGGGTGGCCAGAATGTATTTTGAGAAAGCAAATGCCCGTGAAGAAAGTTCTTCACAAAGTTCCAACACAGACTCTGCTTCCCACGAAGAGGATCAACCGAAAGATGATGAACGCGGAGGAGACAGGGAGCCTAAATTTACTATTAAAGAGGAAGAAGAATTAGTTAATTTTTTTTAAGGAAAACGAGTTTTTCTATAACCAACAATTGAAAGACTTTAAAAACAAATCAAATAAAGTGCCAAAACAATCAATAATGATTATCACAATGTAAACGATAAACTGTTATCTTTTTATCCATTCCTATATCATGGCTAATTTTTGACAACTATTGTTGTCAAATCTACTGGAAACATTTTTAATGACTAAAGCAGCCGGAAATATCTTACTTTTTAATTTGCCAAGTCATAATTTGCCAAGTCACAATGGAAGAAAAATTAAGCAAATAGGCGGGCGCAGAGAAAAAAGTAAATAGCAAAGTTTGATTCATACTTTTTACAATAAATTTAATTGTCAGGCATTTTTATAACAGTAAAACAGTGTCACCAATATAAAGAAGGTCAAATAAATACAAATTAACTTCCTCCCAGTACTTAGAATTCGTACCACAAGGACGGAAACAAATTGATGACGCGCAGGATCCTTCACTATTTAAAGATGTTGTATTGTAAGTGTAACGCTTGGGGCTACAAAGACAAAGGGAAAACCACACAATCGGTCGCAAATCAGTTGCTAAGCAGTCGGCGACCTTTTAGCAACCGGTTGGATACCACAAATAGGCTTTTCGGTCGCCAGGAGGTTTTCGGTGCTGCACCGAAAACCGGCGCGACCGGATAGTAACCCAGCGTTCATTTGGAGACCACTTTGCGAGTTGTTGCAACTTGTCGCCCACCTTTCTGCAACCGGTGACAGTTGCAAGTCGCAAGGAGGTTTTATGTTCAGTGTGACCGTAACTGCACAGGCCTTGCGACCTCAAAGATACCAAGTATTGAAAAAAGAAACTATGCATGCCTATTATTACATTAATAAGGCTGAAAAAACATCCAAATATGTGTTTTATTACACCACTGGTTTGATATAAATGCCAATATATAGTACAAATACATTTCTTATTTATTATTGTAAGTTTGACAATATTGGTAGTACAGAAATCGACTGTGACGTTATAACAGAATCTCATAGCAGAATCATACTTTAATATTCAAAATATTAAATCATTTGAAGCTGCTACGGAACGGATCCAATCGTTGTATAATAATGTTAAAAATATTCCCTCTGTTGTCATCCGAGAGGGAAATTTACGAGAAGGTAGCTATCGTCACAACTTATAAAATATATATAGTCTGTGCAACCTTGCTGCTACCAGTTGGCAAGCGATCGCTACAGTCCTGCAACCGGTTTTCAGTCTCCAAGTGGTTGCTGACAGGTTGTTTATCGCTCGCCTAACGGTGTGCGACTGGTAACCTCTGACTTGAAGATTGTCTGTAAGAGGTTGCAGATACCATACTGTAACCTTGTTGCAACCGGTTAGCATCTGCTTGCCGATCAAAATATGCAAATTAGGTCGCAAAGTGATCGCAAGCGACCACCAGATTTTGTGGTTGCAAAGAGGTTGGCAAAAGGTTGCAAGCGCAGTGTGACCCAGCCTTAAGTGAACCCAAGTAGTAGAGATGTGTGAAGGGTGGGGATTGATATAAGACCACAAATTTTCTTCAGAAAACTTAAAGACAGAGCTATAAATGTGAAACTCAATGATAAGTAAACAGTAGGTATAAATGGTAACTTCAGTGATAACAAAAACGAATAGTTGATGAGGAAAGGAGGGTTGATTTTTTGGATTAAGCTGGTTTATAACGATGTGCAGGTCAGACTGAGCAAGATACTCTACCGTGCTAAGGTATCTACCCTGAACAGTGAAACGTCTGACAAGGAATATGATAGAAGTGGGAAACTAAAAGTAGGTAACTGAATCAGCATAGCAGGTGCCCATGTGATATCCAATAAATTTCGGGACATTGCGTCCGCCTATGTCATTAGGTGACTGGAGATTCTACACGCAAGGACCCTTCATTTCTTTGTGCAGTCACAGTGACCGCCATCGGAGCAAACAAGAAACTCCTGGATAGAAAACGTTTTGTCAACAGCAACTGCTAAATCGCTAGAGAAAATAAAACTTACCGCAATCATGTAACAGTCGGCAATTGTACTGTTGATCCTTGCTTGAAGTTGTGTAGAATCTGTCACTGTACGCTTCAACAAATCGAGTGAACTGCTGGAAAGTTCTCATAGAGGTAAAATGAAATTTTTTTGAACTGAAGATTTCAGTTGAAGATTTGAGATAACTTGTAGATTGTTGTCACCATAAAATGTCGTTTGACTACGCCAAACTTTCCTTTGATATCCTTTCTTCAAGATTCCAAATGATGGATATTGATGGAGATGGACTTGTGTCTCTAAATGAACATGCTGCTTTTTTCTACAGTTTCAACATCCCTTCTGAGTATTCAGATAAAATATTTGACATCATGGACGCTGACAATGATGGCTTCATCTCCAAGGAAGAGTTTGTTCACGCACGCACTGAATTCTGGTTTACCGCAAATCATGATAACAAATACAATGAATGCTTTGGTCCGCTCATTGACTTTGAAAATTGAAACGATGTTTTCTATTATCAGTTACCAAATACTTCGACCATTATTCAAATTTAATCATTTTAAAAACACAATATATACTTACATGTGGCATGGCATATTACATATCAATATTCTAGACGAATGTCCTAAATATACTAAATGTGTGCGATTTATGAGAGTAACAGAAACGGTTGGTGCCGAAAGGGATTTAAGCATAAAATGAGCAAAGTCATATTTGGATTTCAGAAAAGGACTGTTGCAACAGGACAAGTATAGAAACTTGGTGACATACGTACAAAATGACTTTAAGGATTCTTGTGGTTGATAGTGAAATTTTCTGTTGTGAGACGATAAAACATAATGTTGACGCTCGATCACTCATATAGATTCAAAATTTATATGTATTCTGATACATACCCTGTACTATAGAACTCAAAATATTTCAGATTGAAGCTGCACGCGTGTTCTCTGACACTATAAGCTGATATTATTTTTTTTCTATCGCCAAGCTCTAGCGATGAAATTGAACTTAGTTGGCAACAGCTCTGCATCAAACTGTATATCATATCTTTTAAAAATAAGTTTACTGCTAATGTATTTCATTATTTACATATGCATTTAAGCATGCTTGATGTATTTCAGCATCCTTAGGTGTTTACATGTAGCATGGTTTGCATGCGACTAATCACAGTTACTCGTACGATTGCTTTTGAATATGTACAGTAAGATAGAAATGGACAAATTTATCCATTTTTAAATCCTTAACAAATAAAGTGACCTATCATATAAAATCATCCACGGTGGAATGAGGGTAGAAAACTTGTCCATTCATTGAGTTTAAACTAAAAGCCGTGGCAGTACTTTGAGGTCAGTCATAAGCCACTTCTTTAAACGAACTAGATTTGAGCTGCACTTCCATCGCCTTGGTTGTCGTCACTTGTTTTAGCGTCTCAGTTCTCTGTGGCACGAGAAGGCTTCTTATCGCCTACGTCATCGAACAACTCCTCGATGTAGGGCCGCAATGGCGACCAAAGCGACGGTTCCATCTCCCCCCTTTTGAGTGCGATAAGCTGTAAAAATCATAGACATAGTTGGAAAACCAGTCAAAGAAAACAGCATTAAAAAGATATTAGGCGTTTGATTGGTTGAACGCGATTCATTGGGTCCAGTCTTTGATAAGACAAACAGACCTCCAAAAATTTTCAGAATTAATCCATACAAAACATGAAATAACTTTCACAAGTATATACGGCAACTAACATGGCGTCCATCCTCAGCATCTGTCTCTTTTTTTTTCATGCCAAAAAAATATTTCACAGGTTTAAAAATTTTCCCTAAACCAAACAGTCAAATTAATATGTTATTTTAGAATAGTGACTTACCTTGGGAATCAAAAGCAACAAAATCGTAGCTATGATAGCGAAGAGCGTGAAGCCAGCTATAACGCCAAAGTTGACGTTTGGCTCTTCTTGTACGAGGACACCTACTGGAACTCCGACAACAGTCGCCAAGGCAATGATAACCATAGCCAAACCAACTAGACTGCTGTCTCCAGCATCTCTCTTCACCGACATCACCCTACAAAAAATGAAAAGAAAATTAATACTAATATCACGTTATGTCAAATAGCAGAATAGATGGAACCGAAAAATCAATCCATGACATTGGTAGAAACTTTTTAAACATGTATGTGGGGACTACACGGGGTACAGCAAAAAGGTTGAAAATCAACTTCAAACATTATATCAATAATTTGTTTCCATGTTGTGTCTGACGTGATTTGAAAGTGTTGTGGATGCGACAGATACATGTAGTACCGGAGTAATATAAAAAAGTCAAAATTTTATAATGAAATGTTGTCTTCCCCACATAAAAATTTATAAATTTTAATTCATTTGAGTATATAACTGTTATCTTGTAGTATGCATGATGGGGGATAAATTGGCACTTTTTGTTAGTTTGAAGGTGAAAATTTTCATGAAAAAAATAAAGAAAACTAAAAATGTGTATTTTCCCACCCAATGACTCCTATAAAAAGGCTATGGTACAGTAGTAAGATGAATACCTGTTTCAAAATGTATCACTTTTCACCAAAATTTTCACCACCAAACTTTCAAATACTAACACAATATACGTCACAATGCAAACCATGTGGAAAACAATATAATAGTATGGTGACTAAATACACTGTATAAAATAGGTTTTTTTCTTCGTTGGAGTATATATCACATATGGCTATGAATATGAACATTTTTCATGACTTTTTATTTATTTTTTTGCACCGAATATTTTTCCACCAAACTTACAAAACTTTCCCATATATTCCTCATAAAGTATACTTAAGGGAATGATGTTGAAATGATCACCAAATATCAAATTAATAGCTTTTTCATGGTGGTAAAATACACATCTTTTAATTCCATTTCCTCATTTAAATTGTCATCTGCAAACTAACAAAATAAGTAATGTATACTCCATTATGCAAACTACAAGACAAGAGTTAATGCTTAAATAAAATAAGATTTATAAAGTTGTGTGTGGAGGGGGGGGGTAAAAATTTCATGGGGGAGTTACATTTTCATTATGAACATTTGACTGGGTAGTCACATTTTCATAATAAAAACCTGACTGGGCCGGAGTCACATTTCTGGGGGAGTCAGATTTTCATGGTACACCTGTATGTTGGATGTGACGATGTAGATATTGGTTCACGTACCAGGTAGGCCAGACCAAGCAAACAGAGACCAGCAACAGCAGACCCTTGTACACGATAAACGCAATGGTCCAGCCCATAGCACTCCCGCTGTGACATTGGCGATAGAGAGTCTGGTACCGCACCATTTTGGCAGCATCTCGCTAATTTTGAGAAGGAACGGGAGTCATATATCCGCGACTAACTGTGAAACAGCAGCTGAGCTAATGTACTGTTCGCACTTGTGCCACTTTTTGGTACAATATCAAAAAAGTAACAAAACAGTGTGACTTTGAAGAACAATAACCAACTTCATAAGTAGTTGAGACCAAAAGCAATATTTTCTCTTTCACAAAGTACTTGTGCATACAAACCGTAGCGACTACCAGTGTGGGTTTACTTACAAATTCGGGTAAATGCCTATCTTTCACCACAAGTGGGTCAGTCAACTGCCAGATAAGCAACATCAGAATATCAATAACCAACAGTACGGCAACTCCAGACAGCATGCGCAGTTCTACTTGCAGACCCTGGTAAAGATATTCTGTATATAAAACCCCGAAAAGAACAACTGCAACCGTAACGTTAACGTTTTGGTTTGCCACATTAAAGATGAACGACATACATGGGTATATGTGAGGTATACGTATAGGTATGTTTGTGTGTGGTATATGTGTGAAATAGCAAAGGATCTGCAGCTGGAATTTTAAAGCATTTAATGTATCTTGTTTCGTTGATAATGAATGTGTCTGCGTGGGTTAATCATTGTATTTGTCTGTGTTCCTTTGCATGTCAGTGTTTTGGATTACAAGAGATGCGAAAGTCTGTTGTTCGTAAGATTTTAGTGGATGCACAACTCATATGAGGCAAAATAAAGGGTTGATCACTACAAGTCTTAGTCAACTTCTCAGTTAGATAATAACCATTGGTCGTGTCCTATATGCAGTTTGCAGGATACGACATTATCATGAACGCGACTATTCAACAGCTGCAGCAGTGTGCAAGATGTTAATAAAACGCTGCGTCTTACTCAAGGCCAAAAATTATATTATATTAAAAATTCACCCAATCCTGCTGATAACGAAAGAACGATACACTCCCCACATCTTCAGCAGCATGGTACCAAACGACAGTGTAAACCCAGTCACAAATAGCCAGACAAAGGCATTACATGGTACATTGCTAGTCGACGACAGCTGTGTTGCACTGCCTGGAACAAATAACCCTGGTTTTGTGATATAGCAGTGGCGGATTTAGGGGGTACCAGGGGTGTCCTGACACCTCCCCCTCTTCGATTTCTGCTTAAAAAACGCCAAAAAAAAAAAAAACGTCTAGCTAAATCATAGTTCTAAACCCTACCAAATGGCGCCTTCCAAAACACCATTTTTTTCGAGGTCCTCGAGCGTGGACCTAACCTGAAGCCAAGGGAGGAGGGAGGGGCCTGGCAATCCCTATAAAACGGACCCCTACAAAAATTTCTGGATAGACCCCATGTATAGGCCTATGTTTAGTACGTATAATACACCTAAAACAAACATGATATCTTTTTAATGCGACACGACAGAATCAGATACATGTATTTAAAAATGGGCTATCATAATTCACAGATCATACAGGAGTGTGTTTCCTTAAGAGAGATAAATTGAAATCGACTTGCACGACTGCTCACCTTGAAGAATGACATTGACAGCCAGGAAGATGCATCCCAGTGCAATGACACTGTTCATCAGTGGCCATGAGTTTTGAATTAACCTAAAAATTAAATGTATTGTGTAAGTTGTGATCGTCTTTGCTGATGTGAAAGGAATGGTAGTCCTAGGAATGGAAGTCCAGGCTACAGGATCCCATATGGTTAGTATATGTTGGGGAAGGTCGTAGTATAGGAGCTTGAATATGGGACGAACGTCATCTGTACAAAGTGCTACCATTCCTGTCACACCAGTGCCTCTGAAGCCAGAAAACAGGTATAATATTTAGTGCAGTAAACCTTGATACACCCTTCTCATGTGGAAAAAACGTGCAATGATTCGTTTGTACGATTTTGTGCAGATGATTGATTGAAATTTCACACTTAATGACAGTTATATATACGACTTCCTGTCAACCCTGGTACCAATACATACTGTGTCTTCCATTTGACGATCGTAACTAACAGGAACACGACAGTGAGAACTATTGATATCACAGCTAGCACAGTAAAGGCTATTTTTAGTTCGTCTGCGACAACCAGTAGTTTTCGGACCATCCTGTACCCAGATTGCGGTATATGGCCGCCTATCGAGAAAAAACAAAACATGCCTCCATAAATGTTTAGAACGCATCGGGTGATTAATACTTAGAACTACTTGCAATGTTCAGGACAGCTAGTCCATTTGGACGACCCCCCCCCCCCCCCACACAAAAAAATTAATTAATCAAAAAATTAATTAATCAATAACTTTCCTAGCCAAAACTGGAAATTCCCCCTGTTATATTTATTTAAGCCATACGCAAGTAAATAAAGGGAGACGCAGGTTTGTGGAGATACATGTAGATCTTTGAAGACATACTACCTGGGTTCAGACGATAAAATATTGGTGAATGAATTTTAATGTTTGGCGATCAGCACACTGAATAGGTAGAACAACCGCAGAACGCACCATGAGAATACCACAGGTCACTAATCTTCTCCGACAACGTGATGTTCCGGGATTTCTGGTCGTAAACACCAAACAATAAAGCTGTACCGTCTGAAATCAGAAATAGGATACCAATTTATCAATGATTTCAGGATATAAAGAACTTTATATGTAGGGGGGCATAGATAAAGAACTGGGTGCACCTTTCCTTCTTTCTCACACCCACACACGTAGGTAAACGCACACTCACAAACACAGACGCACACTAAAGCAATTTCTCCAATGGTGTTGTATATTTCGGCATGGGTTCATTGGCGAACTTGTTATATTTGGTATTGTGTAACTCGTTTGCTTATCTATCTAAGCGATTAAAAAAAAAATAATAATATTGTGAGTGTTTGTTTGACTGGTGGCAGTCGGGTATGAGGTGGTTGTGTGTGGCTTTATTACACTCCATCTAGATGTGTGCTGAAAACCTACTTCTTATTTGCTCCATAGACAGCCAGCTCATTCGACTTCCATGGGGTGAGAAAGACACGGGACCCTTGAAAGAGAAAAAATCTCACGATTTTACATAAGCAGTGGCGGTTGTGTGTTTGAGAGGGGGGTTAGCACGTGTGACTCCTTAAGTTTACAAGTTACTCCCTTGAAACTTTAACTATTGATACGAGGCAAAGTCTGGCAATGTTCCATCTTTGTGCCCTACATGTAAAACTCATACAAAAACATTTTTCTTTGCAATGACAAGCGGTGCAATTTCTTATCCTTGTGCTCCCACCAATACCATACAAAATAGAATTAGAAGCAAGCAACCCTTTCACTTTAAACGTGTATCACTGGAAACGCAAAAGTAAATTTCAAAATGAAAGTTTTACACAATTATGGTAAAAATACACCAAACCCCCATTTAGTGAATCTTGTCAACCAACTCTTCACCTACACTATAATACGTCTGCCAAACGTTGAAATACTTACCGACGCACCGAAGAAGTTGGTGCGATCCATTTCTGGAATCAAAGCGTCCGTCACCGTGCCGAGATCGGTGAACTTGAAGTTGGCGATTATTCTTGGCGGAAGACGAGACAGACTCTTGTTTAAGGCCAATGCAGCCGCCCATATGGCATCATAATTCAACTGATATAGTATTCTTCTGGTGTCGTCATTGTACCAAGCTTGTTCTTTCATTTCCCTCAAAATTTCTGCAGGATCCTAAATCAATACACCTGTGTATATACATATATCAACAACAACGCTTATCGACAGTTTCAGTGCTCCGTAAGTTTTCATTTTAAAAGACTGTGTATTGTTGATATTATAGCTTGAAATGCGTGCACTATATGTGTGTGTGAGAGAGTTTGTGTGAGTGTGTCCGTGCATGGGCGTTGTGTGTGTTCACGTGCGTAAGCCTACAGGTATACAGGTACCTTTACTGTAAATGGCCGTTTTGGTTCATATCCAACTTCGCTGGCATGTTTAGCGTCAGCGCGGAATGTAATGAACTGCCCTTCTGCCGCTTGGACCACCTGCTCCGCGTTGCAAGAGAGTTTCCGTTTTTGGTGCATGTTGGATGCGAAGTTGCGGTAGTCTTTAACGAATTCCATCAAACTCAGCCAAACATATTTCTTTCCAATCAAGCCATATTTGTATGCCTGTTTGAATAAAAAAAATTATAAGCAAACATGCAATAAAATGCAAATAAAAGCAAATGTTAGTACAATTGGAAAATGCCAAATACTACATACAGTGACACTTTTATAGCATTTTCAGTCCCAAGAAGTGTAGCCAGTTACACTTGAGATTGGATTGTCGTTGTCTAGCTACCGATGTGACGGGAATGGATGTCCGCATAGAACTGTACTCCATTTCCAATTACTTTGTACAGGTGGCAATTGTCCCAAATGCTAGCCCTAACCTATAGTAATCATATGGTACCCCGGACTTCCTTTCCTAGGACTACCACTCCTGTCACACCGGTAATCCACTCGAAAACATCACCATCTGCTCGTAACACGACAGGCAGTGTTTATAAAGCTAATGGAATATCTATAATCTGGTGGGACGTATGTTCAGCCTATAGCACTCACTGTCGTTTTAAATCTATTACCTGACAAAACACATGACAAAGCGATGAGCCCAGTCCGTCAGCGTGATGCATGATTACCCTTGCGTCCAGTTCCTAGAATGGCAGAAAAATAGTTAATTTTATATGATAAGACCCCATTGAAACCAAAGCATGATGCATCCCTCTTGAATAGCTTAATATGGCTTAGTTTAAATCCATTCATTTATGATTATAAAGTCTCACCTTCAGTTTTTCCATAACTTGGCCTAGCTGCTCTACTCTATAGAATAAAGAAGTGACAATTTCTATGCCGGACTGTCTTAGCAGTATCTCCACTTCCTTCGACATCTACTCGGAAAAGAAAAAGCAAGCACAGTGTTATTCTTAAAAAAAATATTTCTTCAAACATGAGTACAGGTTTTGCACTCAGACACACTCACAGTAATTCAAACGTTAAATTATGAAATTCGTTTTACTTATTCATCAAATTAATCACATGAGACTAATTTTGCATTTCATGCGTGATACACAGGCAAATAGAAGCCTGATAATACATGTAGAATCCTTTCAAATGCAAAGAAATACAGACTTGACATTTAATATGGAATATTTCAGTTTCAAAGGTATACCTTGGTAAAAATGCGTTCTTTTTTTCATAAAACTCAGATCTCACATAAAATATCTGACTGGAGAAGTGTGAAGTCAGGTGTGTCGCAACCAATTAACTGACTACCAAGTCTGGTGCACTGCTGCATTGTGTAATATGCAGTGTTTTAATTGGGTAGTGCCCCTTTGGGATAGCCAAAGCTTGGCTTTGGCGAAGCATGGTGCTGTTAAAAAAGTATCCATATGTCGGTAACTACTGCATAGAAGAATTTGAAATTTTGCATGCAAGCGGTCAGTTTTGCAGTGCGTAAAATGAGTTAAACAAAGTTTTACAAAATTGTTAATCTGTGCCAGAATGGCGAGAAAAAGACAGACATTGCCAGACAGATAATTGTGTCAAACGAAATGGTCAGCACAGTTTTATGGAGTTATGCCCAGACTGATGTACCTACACAGAGACCACGGCCAATGTATCGCCGTCTTACCACCAGGGTACAGGACTCAGTGTCCTTCAGGATATGCTGCTGCAACTAAACAGAACCCACCCAGTCCGTTCAGAATGAGGGGCAAATTGTGACCAAAACGCGTTTTTCAAGGCTCTTAGCGAATGCCGAACTGGTTTTAGCAGGTTAGGATACCAAACGACCTCTGAGGAAGCCACTGTAAACAGCAAAACAGCGTCGTCTGTCTCTCTAATGAATTGAGGACCATGACCGTTTCTGGGTAGAACCCTGAAACCGAGTGGCTTTCTTTATTGAGGTCAGATTTCACCTGTACCGCTTAACTGGTCCAAACAGAGTTTACAGTCATCCAGAAGAGGCCTACGACAAGTCGTGTGCCGCTTCTGAAGTGCCTAGGGTCTTTGACAGCGTCAGTATTTGGAGTGAATACCACATTGGTGCCAAAACACCAATGGTAGGCATTGATAAAAACCTAAACCAGATGAAATAAAGGAATAATGTGGGAACCATTTGACTATCATTTGATAGGGGGCACCTTAGGAACAATTTTAGGTTGCACGATGAGATTGCCCGTTCACAAAGAGCACTTTTAATAGCAGATAACTTACAGAGCCAAGGGATTGAGCAGATACATTGGTCATCAAAATCGCCATATTTGAACCACATAGACAATACGTGGGCAGGTTATTACTCTCCGAATCAACAGCCTGCATGTCCTACAACAAAACTGCACCAAACTGGACAAGTTTTGACCGTTGCCTGGAATTTTTTTCCAGATTAAACTCTAAAAACCTATCCTAAGGAATGCCTTGCCGCTTGAAAGCTCTGGTAGCAGCCAGATGAGGTCAGGTGTAATAGCCACCGTTGCTGTGACAAGACACTGACATGAGGGTCCTTTGTTGGGCGTATAACTCTTTTAAAGACGATAATTTGGAAAATATAGAGATCCAAAACATCGCTTTCAGTGGTTGCCGTATAACCTAAAATAGGCAATGCATTTTTGTTTGCTTCACTGGCGAATTCAATTGATGAACTGATGTCACAATGACATCAAAGAGATAAATAAAAGTTATTAAAACGCCATTTTAATCCTTATTTTCATTTATAAGTCAGCAAAATAGGAAAAAACTGACGAAAAATAATTTGGAAAAAAATATTCCATATTAAATGTCAAGTCTGTATTAGGCCCGTATCCAGGGGGGAGGTTCGGGGGGTTAAAAAAAAAACGCCCCTTTGTCCCAGGAAAAGGTTCCCTCTGGGTAAAATTTTATCAAGGTATATGAATGTTTCATATCAAAAAGGCCCACTTTTTAAGAAAAAGACCCCCCCCCCTTTTGAAATTGCTGGCTACGGGCCTGTTTGCTGTCAGCTTAATGGCATTGTCAGCATCCACTTTACCTCTGTAAATGGCCTCTTGTCTTCCGCCAGCAATGCCACGCGGGTCCAACCGAAACGCTTGACAAAATCCACTTCAATAGTGACAACGTCCA